GGATAGCTTGTGGCTCAGGCAGCAATGCTGATGCCTGCCATCCATGACCCCCAACATGTCACCTTGCAAGTGTCACCACGACTCACACTCTAGATGCCCCACTGGAAGGGGGTCCACGTGCCAAGGATGACTTTGTTTCAGACTTTGCCACCCCAGTCCCACACTGCAGAGCAGCTTGACCACACCAGGAAGGGCTGGCAATGAACACTGCTACAAAGCAAAGGAGTCTGTAGAAGGCAACGGTACTCTATCAACATATACTTAGGACACACCCAGCTCGGTACAGCGCCGTGCAGAGAACAACATTCCATCAACACACTCCTGGCTTGAGGACAGCACTGAGCCAAGGGATCAGCACTTTCTCCACCCTCTACAAGAGGAGCTTGATAAGAAGCCAGGCTCTCCGAAATCACAGCCAGAGGAGGGGTGGCGTGTGAACTGCCTCTGCGCCCCCGCAGCTCCCATGAGGCTGGCCTGACTGAAGACATCTGAGTGTCCATTCCCACAGAACAAAGCACCCTCTCCGGCCTGTGGGCAAGACCGTGGCTGCACCTGTGTTCTGGATTCTGGCTAGAGGGCCTTGGCCTGCCCATCCCCCTCTGCTTCTCTGACATACGCTGGTGTAACTGTCAGCCTCTCCCACACCCTGACCTCCTGGCCTAGGGGGCCACCTGCATCTGCAAAGGAGCCTGCCTGCTCTGTTCCATCTCTCACTGTTGGATCTGTAATCCTAACCAGCAAATATCTTTTTCCAGCTTCTTGGAAGAGAGATGTCCACATGCTGCCCAACCACTGCTGGGTTCTGGCAGAGAAGCAGTCCTCCTCACCTCCCACCGTGGCTCTGATTGCTTTCGTGGTGCTGTCACTGATCTGGCAGCCAGAGAGCCCCCAGCAGGACCAGAGTCCTAGGTCTGCCCTTTCTGCAGAGGAAAGCCAGCCTTGACAGGTCCTTACTCGTCACAAAACCTCATCAACACTACAATCATGGAACACTGTTTTCTTTTTTTTTTTCCACTGCTTTCATTAAATAGAAAAATGAAAATACTACTCAAGCAGAGCTATTTGAGATATTAGATTCATTTAAACATTTCTCATTATTTCTCAACTAAACCTTCTCTTCTCTTCCTTACCTACCCAGAGTCTGGACAAACCTACAGCAGGAGGGGTCAGAGGATTGAAAGCCCTGGATACTGATTTGACAAGTCCTCATTCTCTGTTGTAAATGACAAAAGTATAATTCGCATGGCTTAAGTAAACTAGGGACTTCATCAGCCTGGAAGAGTTGAAAGGGATCTCCAGCTTCAGGCATAGCTGGATCCAGAACATCCAGCAAGCAGGCACGTACCTTTCTCTGTCTTTCACCTCTTCTACATCAAGCTCAGAATGGCTTTCTCCCTGAGGTGATTTCTCCTAACAGCGCCAGGACCACATTGTACCAGCTCCGCAAATTCAGCAAAAAGTTTCTCCATGAGTCCAGCTAGGGTTACCAGACTTAGCAAATATTTGGGACATAGTTGTGTTATAAAGTTACTCATTCTTGACTTGAAACTCTAAGCATTCCATATTTTGGCACTGGACAAGGTAGGGACACCTGAAAAGTCCTGGAAGAAGAGGAGCAGGGGCAACCCCGTGCTTTGCATGTGTCACCAGGGGCGAGGGGCCTTTTCCTAGTCACTTTCTCAACCCTGAGCCACAATACTTCACCCCCCAACTTAAAAGAGCGGAGGTTTGTTTGGGCTTGTGTTTTCCACCCGCAGGCCTCTGGCTCCGAGGCAGAGCAGCATGGCAGAGGGGCACAGAGGAGGACAGGCTGCTGCTGTCACGCTGGCAGGTAGCACAGAGCTACAGGCGAGTTGGGAGATGCACCCTACCAGGCCACGCCCGAGTGAAGCCCTCTTCAGACCAGACCCCAACTCCGAACAGCAGCTCAACCGTATCACCCCCATGATCCAATCACCTTGCCAAAGCTCCACCTACGAGCTCACGGGGCCTTTGGAGAACATCCTCCATCTAAACCAGAACAGGCTTCCCCACAATAATCAAGATGCTGACCCTAGAAATAAGGGGAATGACCCTCACCCAGACAGAACACACCTTCATCCCTTTCTTTCTTTACAAGTACTGTACTCCTTCCCTGCATTACTTTGCTAGAGCTATAACAACATTGTGACCTAATCGACAGATTTTATTACCTCACAGTCTGGCAGGCTAGAAGTACAGGGCCGAGGTGCTGGCATGACAGGTTTCCTCTGAAGGCTCTCTGCTTGGCCTGCAGGGGGAGCCTTCCAGGTTGTCGCCTGGGCCTTTGTGTGTGCCTGTGCCTTGGTCCCCTCTTCCTCTAGGGACACCGGTCCTTTGGAAAGGACCTACCTGCATGACCATCATTTCACTGAACCGCTTATTGATACAGGGGAAAGAACTCCCCACCTGAACGATATCTGGGATGAGTTCGTGTTCTCTAAAATCGAAGAATGAATTTAAGGAACAATGGAGGTTAAAGCAGAATATATTTATTGAGGGAAAGAAAGCTTCTGTCCAAGAGAGGGACAGAAGGGGGCCCGAGTGGATTGCCAAGGACCCTGCCCTTCCCAGGGACTTTATAGAGCAAAACCCTGAGGTGAGGCGGGTCTCAGATAGGGGGAAACTGGGAAATTACAAGGAGGGCTTGAGGTGGGACAAAACTATGGTCAGCCAATAAGATTACAAGTATAACTGTTCAGGTAAAACTGAGTAAACTGGGATCAAATGGAGAAGCGAGTCACGTAGCAGGAGGGCATGAATACAGAACAGGGGCTTTTCCTGTAGGGGGTTGGGCTAGTGACTCTTCCTGGCTTTTTCAAGGTGATCGCTACCTATTTAGAATATCAATCCCTGATGCCCATCCCTAGGGAGGTATGTGGGTGCATTTGTTTAGTCTTTTGTCTTGAGGTCTGGCCCACAGAAAATACATCTCCATTTGCAAGGTATCTTGTCTTCCATATTGGCTCGTTTGAGGGCCTGGCCCTGTCTGACTGCTTATAATATGGCTATCTAACCCAGCTGCCTATAACATTATTTAAGGGCTCTCTCTCATCTTTAAGTAGTTAGTGCCTGAGGAACGAAGGCTTAGAGGTCAGTGTATGGATCTGGGGAGTGGGGACAGGATACTCAGTTCAACCCATAAGGTTCCTCTCTATTCTTGTCACATAAGGAGAAGCAGGGAGGTGGTAGGCTTGTCCCCAGCCCCAGGGCTGGTCAGTGGCGGGCCTCAGCAAGGAGACTTGCTGCACCGCAAGCCAAGCTGGTCCCTAGTGTCCCGCCCGCAGCCCTCATCCCCTAACCTCTCTTCCAAGACTGGCCGCAGCAAACCAGCCTGGATCCCAGCACCTAGCACCGGCCAGACACCCAGCAGGTGACAACGTTTCTGAAATTGTTTCTGGAAACGAATGAAACTAAGAGAGGGAACAAAAATCCTCCTAATGGTTTAGAGAGATTTAGCTAAAGGGGAGCAGGCTCACGAGCTCGTGATGTGAAGTGATAAAGGCTCTTTGGAACGGAAAATGATGAGGCCTATGGATGTGTAAATGAGCCCAGGCAGAACTAATCAGAAGGGTAAATTGCAAAACAGAAAGAGACTAAGACAAGTGAGGGGAGAGCAGCGAATATTTCAGTTTCTCTCGTTCATAAGAAATTCATGAGCAACGCGTGCTGGAAATTTTGTTGGTTTTGGTGGTGGGAGAGAATTGTAAATATGTATAATATGTAAATACCTTTTATAATAAAAGCCCATGAAGATAAATGAGTCTGTCTGCTGAAAAGCTCTGAGCTCCATAGGATGCGAATAGAACGATCGGCGCTCTAGAAATTACCATAATGCTTACAGGGCTTTCCTAAGCTTGGGGAAGGAATGCATAACTACCGGCCAGAAAACCCGTATTCGCGACCCCGACGGTGGCGGGGGTGGTGCTGCGTTTGTGGACCGAACCAGGCAGCACTGAGCTACACGCCCAGGTTTTATACTTCCTTTGGAAGAAGGTCTAAATTGCCCAGGCTGGCCTTTAACTTGCAATCTTCCTGCCTCGGCCTCTCACGTAGAGTAACTGGGATTACAGGCCCGTACAAAGCATTTTTCCTTTTTTTTCTTTTCATTTCACGCCCTCCGCTGCGCTCGCACTGGGGATTAACTTAGGACCTCGCTAAATCGCTAGGTGCCCAGGCTGAGCTTCAGTTTGCAACCCTCCTGACTCAGCCTACCAAGTGGCTGGGATTACAGGCATGCACCACCAGGCCCAGCTTTCTTTTCTTTCTGTTTTTCTTCTTTTTAATTTGTGTTAGGAAGCCTTGGCCTTAGTGAAAGCAGGCTTTCCAGCTGAGCTGCACAGGTTCAAACGGGACCTCCTCGCCGCCCGGAGCGGCGC